GCTGCGCAGACGGCCGTAGGGCCTGGCTTGTTGCTCTGGTGGACAGCCCGCCGCCGTAAATCAGATGCACGGCCAACGTCTATGCAGGGCTTACTACGCTTCAGACAGTATTTTAGGTGGTTTTCGTCTGTTAACTGATTGAATCCTCTCAACAAGGCCGAATACGCTTCTCCCCATTTTACAGGTCAGGGCACTGAGGCAACTATTTGTGTTAGGAACCAAGGTCATAGAAATAGCAGATTGGTGGATCCAAAGTCGTTGCCCTTAACCTCTGCATTGTATTGCCTTTGGAAGAAAAGTACTTTGTGGAAGGAAGGAAGAAAGGAAGGACTCCGCTCTCTATCAGAAATGGAAGGAAAGGGATAATTTCCAGGGCTAATCATGGCAGGCTGTGTGGTATTTGTTCTGGATTGGGAAGGAAAGGTAGGATTTCAACAGACAAAGACGAAATTCGGGAGAAGGACTAGTATGAGCTAAGGTAGAGGGAAAGGTACGTGTTTTCTAGAGATGGCAGAGCTTCCAGACTGACAGGAGCTTCTGTTGTATGTAAGAGAGATGGGAAAAGCCGCTGCCGCTTCCTGGTCTAATCTCAGAGCTGAATTATTGCAGAAACCTCTCTCATTCACCATTTCCCCCGTTTCTGTTCTACCTCCAGATTCATTATTTCAGTCCACTTTCACCATTTTAGTTTCCTGCTCAAAAATTTTTTTTCAGAAAAATATCAAAATTGTTTAAATGGAGAATTTGTTAAGTGAATTAAACTGTATCCATCATACAATGGACTACCATGACGTGAGTTTTATAAAGGATAAAGGTAGATTTATATAGAGTGACTCTACAAATGTCCTCAATATATTGTCAAGGAAAAGCTAGTTACAAACCGGAAGCCCTTTTATCTGATGCTTGTGGAACTGGTGATTAGTTGTTAACTGAAAAATTCGACTAAAATGAAGCATTATATAATACATGGTTTGGTTTTTGTTTTTTAAAAATAAGTTTATTGTATATTATAAGCATTTTTTAAAATTTAAGACTTATAAATGTTAATTCCTTCACCAGTCTTTTGAGATAGCTTCAGGATTTTTCTGTGATTATAGGGCCTTTGGTTGAAGTGCTTCTTGGAGTGATTTGTGCATCCCGCTTTTAGCAAATCATCTATAATTTCTCTTAAATGTTTCCTTAAAGTGGAGCAATAACTGGAAGACACTTCTGAAGCAATCGGAATGCAAAATTTTTCTCAGTGTATGTAATTTTTACAATCACAGATTTCTCACCCATACCTAATTTAACAATTTTTTAGCAACTTGCCTTTAACAAGCTTTTCCAAGGCATTCAACTTAGTTTTCATATAAACATCTCGTTTTTTTAATACAGAAGGAACTTTTTAAAATCTATTTTTATTTAAAGTGGTTAACATTTGCAAATCTCAAACTCCCTAATTTATCTCTTCCCACCCCTTTTCCCCCGTAACCATAAGATTGTTTACTATGAGAATTTGTTTCTGTTTTGTAGATGAGTTCATGTCCTCTTTTTCTTTTATGCAGATTCCACATATGAGTGATATCATATGGTATTTTCTTTCTCTTTCTGGCTTACTTTACTTAGAATGACGATCTCTAGGTCCATCCATGTTGCTGCAAATGGCATTATTTTATTCTTTTTTATAGCTGAGTAGTATTCCATTATATAAATACACCACAACTTCTTTATCCAGTCATCTGTCAATGGACATTTAGGTTGCTTCTATGTCTTGGCTACTGTATATAGTGCTGCTATGGACATTGGGGAGCATGTGTCTTTTCAAATTAGAGTTTCCTCTGGATACATGCCCAGGACTGGGATTGCTGGATCATATGGTAAGTCTATTTTTAGCTTTTTGAGGAATCTCCATACTGTTTTCCATAATGGCTGCACCTAAACATCTCTTTTATCTTTATACTCGTACTTCATACATTTTCAAAATGTAACTAAATTGTAATAAAAGACATCAATTGTATAAATAAGTGGAATGAACCCAATTGACATTTGGTAGTTAGGTAGCTCAGTTGGCAGAAACAAAACTACCCAGAAGCTCTCAAAAATAGCCTCCTAGCCAAGTTTAGCATGCTGTGGGTATCAGTAAGTACTTTTGGGGGGGGTGAAATTAGGTTTGTTTGTTTGTTTGTTTTAAATGGAGGTCCTGGGGATTGAACTGAGGACCCCGTGCATGCTAAGCATGTGCTCTACCACTGAGCTCTACTCTACCCCTTCTCCCCTGCCACCCCCATCCCCCACAGGACTTGGAAGGGTCCATTAAATAGGAACTAGAGAGTAACTATATATTTTTGCAAAAATTATGTATGTTGTAGTGATAGTTACACCACTATGATTATATTTACTAAGAATCATTAGAGTGTACATATGAAATGGGTGAATTTTACAGTATATAAAACTTACCTTACTAAAGCTGTTCTTTAAACAGCTGTGTATTCATGTATTTCTAGTGATTTTGACTGAAAAGCTGAAGCATTGATAAGAAAAAAGAAAGAAAATAAATATGTAAAGATATCAGGGGACTGTTAAAAGTGATATTCTTATGGCTGTATTAAGTTGACTGAAAAAAAAAAAGCACAATATGAAAGTTGTGAGTTCAGTTTTATTGGGAGGGAAAATGAGGGCACTGGTGACACAGCCTCTCAGATAGCTCTGAGGAACTGCTCCGAAGAGGTAAGGGGGGAGGTCAGCATATTTGTGATTTTGGTGAAGGGGGATCTGTGCATTCAAACACACATTTTGGCAGAAGGTTGCTGCTAGTCACAAGAAGGTAGTTGCCAGTCACAAGGAGCCAATGTCTCTGTTAATTTTCTAGGTACATAAAATCTTCTCCTGAAAATATCTAACTATCTGGAGTCCTGTTCTGCCAGTTTTTCCCAAAGCACAGAGCGCCTTATTCCTGATCTCCACTCTGAACTCCTTTCAGGGTCTGTTGAAGGTCAGTGACTGCAGTGGCAGGTGACTTCATTCTTGTAGTGCCAAATGGTTTGTGACAATTTTTAGTTGGCAATTACAAGGAATTTCATTTTTTACTTTATACGCTTCTGTATGGTTTGAATTTTTACAGCAAGGACACATAATTTTTATTTTCTTTTTCCCAGGTCCCCCCCCCCAACCAGTTTTATTGAGATAGAATTACAACATTATATTAGTTTAAAATATACAACATAATGAATAATACATGTATAGATACGTAACTTTTATAATCAGAAAAAATATATACATATATATACACCAAAAATTATTGTACTTCTAGCTTGAGATAATGTAATAAAACTTCCTCATAGACTCTGTTTCCACCAATACCTAAGAAAGTTTTAAGAGTTAAAATTTCATCCAGAGCAAACAACAGGTAATAGCTCAGTATCTTGAATGTCAACGAATGGCAGTCAGGGTAAGAAATAGAAGATTCTGGTCTGGAATATGTCACAGCTTTGAATCCTGCTTCCATTTCCTCAACACTCATACTGTCAGGTCCACAAAATCCTGGAAATTAACACATGCATATGCACATATATTCCAAGAGAAAAGAAAATTAAGTAGTTTCCTTATCTTTTATCTCTTCTCTCTGGAAAAGTGAAAATGGCTACTGGGGAGAAGAAGGTGAAGTGAAAAGTGAAGAACTGCCTGTCTTTCAGTCACAGTGAAGATTCCAGAAAAGCATACTGAGTCGGGAGAGGCTCCGAGGATTGAGGCTCTTTCCCGTTGGAATGGGATACACCTATAGAGTGAATTCTGGAATAGACACAAAACATGAGAAGTGATTGCAGAATATTTGAATTCCCCTGAGTTCTGCCTGTCCCCTTCTCCAGACAAGCTTATAAGTCATAGAAGAATTGCATACAGCATAAAATAGCCCTCAAACTGCTGTTCATTAGGAAAACCAAACCAATTTCAGATCAAGTGGGAAGGAAGTCAGGAGGCAAGTAGAGAAAATTCACCCCAAGTGATTTGAGCACTAGAATAACCTAAAAAAAAAAAAAGAGCTCAGTAGACTAAACTTAGAAATGAGATAATAAAACAACTGAAAGAGATGCATAGGGAAATCGCACATCTGATAAAGCACAGACCAAACCAGTGTCATTAAAGAACTAATAAATACATCAAAACAGTAAGGGACACAATAGACATATATGGAAATTTAATTATTGATGCGGGGAAAGGCTTGAAATAATCACCATAAAGGCAAATGAAAAGCACAAAGAGATTAAAACAATCTGAGAGAAGCTAACAGATACAGAAGTCAGACATTGTTAGTGTTCCTGGAGTTGCGATTCTTAAATGGAACAGAAGTATTCAAAATATAAGCACAGAAGTTCCTCTAAAATGATGAATTAATCTGTAGCTTGAAAGGTCAAAACAAAACATTTTGATACAAAATATTTAACCCTAAGACATATTTTAATTAATTTCTTGAAATTCAGCCATCCAGGTAGAAAAAGCAAATCTCCTGTAAGAAGAAAAAAAGTCAGGCCGTCCTCAGATTTCTCAGCAGCAGCATTCAGAGACAGAAGACAATGGAGCATTGTCTGTAGAGTTCTAAAAGAACAGAAGTATGATCCAAGAGTAATATACCTAGCCAAGATGTCATTCAAAAACAAAGGCACTAGGCAGTCCCCACAAATATAAAAGAACTCACAGAAAAGAGAAATGTTTGAAAG